CTAGCCAACCTCTCATTCGGCCCCCTTGGCCCCCTATTTATAAGAGAGGTTTGGCCCAAGCCCTTTGCAGATGAGACTCTAGAACACTCCACAAAATTTCCTCATATTTACACTTACTAAAACCTTCTCAACCTCCCCCTTCTAGCCTAATCCTACATTATTCTAGAATTCTCTCTTTTAGAACCATATACGAGGCCCTAAGAGTTTATTTACATGGGCTTGGCCCAACAAACCTTCCAGACCCCTTGTCTGGACTCAATCCTATGCTCCAGCAGCTTTCGGAGAATTTTGGGCAGCTCCAGAACGCGCCAAGGTATTGACACCATGATACCGCGCGCAAGGAACGCACCTACAACGCTCCTGGCCGCTACCGGGCGCGCCAGCATATCGACCCTGACCGCTCTCGCGTCCGCCTGCGTGTCTCAACCATGACCCCGTGCCACGATCCTGACATCGACACTGCCGACTCATGCAAGGCCCGCCTCTTGGGCGTTCCACGTCGCACTCATGCCCGCGCCCGCGCCTGCACCCGTGCGCACAAGGGTGTCGTGGCCGCCACTCCGTGCCACGACGGTCCCGACTTGGGCCCGCAGACTCGCGCTCCGTGACATAGCGCTGCTTATAATATAAATTTGGGTGGAAAATGAGTCAAAATTACGAAACTGCACATGGGGATCTACAGCTCATTAATCCTACCAATAAATATTAATTACAGAACGCTTAGCTGTGAAAATCATACGTTTATGGATTTCATTTAGCTGGAACTTAATAATTAATTTATAGCTCAAATTAATCTTCAAGCACATTGTTCACAAAATTACGCTACAAGCATGGACTAATCAATTGCTAATAGCCTTGATTAAACTAATGTTTAGTTTAATCTATGCCCTCAAATTAATCTTCAAGCATATGTTCAAAAAATTAAGCTTCAAGCATGGACTAATTACTAGGCTTAAACTAATGTTTAGCTTAATATATAGTTTACAGCTCATTAATATGTTCTACTTAATTACTGGCAAAATATTTAAGAATATAGCGTAAGGTAGGTCATCCTTTCAAAATTTTTATTGGAGAACATATCTAAAAAACCAACTTCTATTTAATATTTTTAAAAACTAATCAACGAATTGAAAGTTCTATTCATATAAATTATGTACGTCAATTTTTATATTGATCTAACACTTATAATCTTTTGATAAAAAAAAAATTTACTTACTAACATTTATTTAATAGTTTTAAATTTCTTATAATCAACGAAGTGATTAGACCTATTAAAATAATTTAAAAATTAGTATGCATTATTTATATAAATAGAATTTTCAATTTAATGATTGGTTTTTAAATTAAAAATATGAATTTTTAGATAAATCCTACCAAAAAAATTTAGAAAGATCACCCGCAAAACACATTCTCCAAAATGTAAATGGTTTAATTGTAATTTCATTTTAAAAGAAGTATAGGAAGTTTTAGATTTGAGTTGTAGAGATGCTAATTCAGGCCATGATAGTTTTTGGTCCTAAGGTCCCAAATTCACGTTCAGTTAATGTAGTTAATTATTTGGATTGCCATTTTTTTCAGTTAAAACTGAAAGAAGCTGGATTGAGGAAAAAAAAAAAAGAACACTTTTAGAAAATAAATTAATAAAATATCAGCACTGCATGTTGAAACCTTTATTAAGCTTAGCATCATTGTTTTTATTTTTTATTTTATCTTGAGTTGTACAATATGAAATAATTCTATTTCATCTCTTAATTCACTTCATATGTATGTCATATAATTCGAATTCAAAGCATTTTACTATTATTGCTGATTTTCAAGTAGAAATATGTTCAAAATTAATGGGAGTGAAAGATAATGGGCAACGAATAATGGTACATGGATAATCTTTTTACATAACTTATATTTATAATTTTTATATATTATTAAATAAACATATAAATATTATATCATAAAATCTAATAGAATGAAAAGAGTCCATTATTAAATAACATGTAATGTTATATGAAAAAATTACATTAAAAAATTAATTCAATCATTTTCAAGAGGATCATAATTAAGAATCTATGACGAAGTTGCTCTGCAGTCTTCAAGAGGATCATAATAAGAATCTATGATGAAGTTGCTCTGCAGTCTGTACCTCATGAGAGAAGTGGCCTAAATCTTCGTAGGCTTATATAGTAAGAAAATGCACAAATGAAGATATAAACTTTGCCTTAAATTATTTAAGGCTTTATTAGATGGCGAGGATGACATGACAGATGGCAATGTTAAATGGAATGCTAATCCAATAAGATGACTTTCATTGATCTCATTGTGAAGTTTCAGTTTACTGAAGCCAGCATCTAAGTTTTAACTAAAGAGGAAGCATTCATAAACTAGAATATCTGAAATAAGTGTAGGGTAAGGGCTGTAGAAGCGTGGATAACTCCCTTCCTCTCATCCAGCGCTTGTAAGGTTGGATAAAGCATCGGACTTGGAGAGAAGAATAACCTGGTCATGAATACTAACTAGAAGATGAAAAATCACTTGACAATCAAATTTGCAACCTAGCATTTCCATTCTGGCAGACTTATGACTATACATAGACGATGCTTTCTAAGACATTCAAATTACTTTCCCAAAAAAAAAAAGTACTGGTACAATCAGCAACACTGACATGAGACTAGGGTAACGTTAAACATAGAAAGTGAAAAGGGCCATAAAAGGAAGGCATATTCGATAGTCTCTGAAGTCCGATTGTGCAAGCTTAAAAGGCACAGGGATATAAGTATTTATTCTTTAACTTTAAACAAAGATATGAAAATGTCTACCTTTAGATGTAGAATAGAAAGCTAAAAAGAAACCTATGCAAAAGAAATAATCACTGCTTCTCCAGTAACCTTATTTCATACACCATAATATTTAGTGCCAAAATAACAAATATTTAGCAATGCATTTATGGTCTTTTACATTCTTGACAAACCCTTCACTGTAACTTGCCTTGCAATACAATTATCTTATGCAAATGACAAATTGAATCAATCCCTTTACTATCCCTGGTTTACTATTTTTCTACCCAGTGATTCTGCATGACGGGGAAGCTATGTGTGCTCTAAAATACATACACTTATTTCTAACTTCTTCTCCACAATATTGCTTCTTCTCCTATAGGGAATGATAATGATGCTTTGCTTACAAAAGGTTTTCGGATTTAAACTGTCTATATGTACTCTTCACATGATAGGAGAATCAATCAGAGTTAACTCTACAAACAAAAAATTTAACTTCAATATCTTAAATATAAGCAAAGCAATAAGGCAATTACAAAGATCATTTCCACTAATAATTATCACCAAAACCTTCCGGGCTCTATTCATAAATAATACAAGAGGCTAATATTGAACTGGAAAACTTCACAAAACCTTTAACAGCAGCTTCCGGGCGGTCTGCTTCCGCGCACGGAAGCCTGAGTCCGACTCGCCGTTGTACCATCCCACGGATCTCTGCGCCTCCTGAACAATCTGCGAGATACCTGGACACGGAACCAATAATAAAAACCAAACAAATCGATATAATTAGAAATGAAACTAAGAATGTCTATAGACGTAGATGGTCATGGATTGTGAAGGCTTGCCTTGTCGAACGGTTTGTTTGTTCTGGCGGATCTCGTGGATAGTGGCGGAGATTTTCCAGTAGAGAGGGCGGCCGACGTAGAAGAGGAAGAGGAGGAGCAGAACTACCAATACCATGCGAAATGTAAGCCTGACCATTGAAGACGCCATTCATGGAGTTGATTGATCGCTGGTTCTTTTTCCGTGCAGAATTTGTATGGTTTCGGTTCCGACTGTGGGGAAGTAAATGAGACGAAACGGAGGGGTGGGACAATTTGTGGGAGATAATCCGCCTTTGCTGTAGATCCCGCCACGTCGACACTTTAGATGTCGCGATATGAATGACTTCGAGAAGACACGCGGGCTCTATCATGGGCTTTGGCCCCGTTGCTTACCATAAAAAAACATTAAAAACAGTGCCAGCCCTATTGGGCCTTTTT